CAATGTCCAGATAGTTATCAAACATTTCTTAGGAAAAAACTTTATATTTTATCTGTTATTTAAAGTAATTAATCTCTGTACGGGTTTGGTAGATTTGACCGATCTCGCAACCACCATAAAAAATTAGGATAAAACATAGATTATGCCCCTTTGATTCTAGAATGAACACAAATTATAACATGAAAACATAAATGTTTAGACTAAATAACATTATACATTTACATGTGTATCTATTATTTTTATTATTTTGACCTTTCATCCTAACCAAGTACAGCTTGCTCATAATTACATAAACATTAAAATAGACTCCATGTGAGAGATGAGAATTTAAAACATACACGTTAAAACTAGTCTAGGCTGTGGATAAATTACAATCTTACACTATATAGGGCCCTGCATGGCCAGGTGGTTAGGGCGCTCGACTCGCACTTTAAGGGTCGAGGGTTCGAATCCCCGTTCCACCAAATATGCTCGCTCTTTCAGCTGTGAGGGCGTTATAATGTTACGGTCAATCTCATTATTCGTTGGTAAAAGAGTAGTCCAAGAGTTGGCAGTGGGTGGTGATGACTAGCTGCCTTCCCTCTAGTATTACACTGCTAAATTAGGGACGGCTAGCGCAGATAGCCCTCATGTAACTTTGCGTGAAATTCAAAACAAACAGCCATGCCTGGCTAACAATGTTACAATGACGCGGAGCACGTGCACTCATGTTACCGTATCAAATAACATACAAATGACCTTTGGTCTGCACTAAGTAACTTGTCTTGGCTGTGTTTTAGTAGACTAGTATTTTGTAAAATACAGTCACATTTCAATTATTCTACATTACATATGAATATAGATTATTGCTATTTTGAAATAAGTTCTTAACTTATTTTTCTTAATACATAAAACAGTAACTAAAGAAGTAAAGCAAACAATTATCTCTTCTAGTTACGACCTTTGTACTCGGTTGCTGCTTGACGTAGGTTGCTATGCCTTTAAAAAAATTGCACGTGAAGGATATGAAACAAAATATTTTTTTAGGTTTTATATTTACATTTGAATAACTAAAAATCATAAATTATACATTAATGCCCTAGAATTCCATATAATTTATCAAGCTTACTAACTAAGATGTATTTTAGTCTAAAAAATTATGAAATTTCGATCAGACTAAAGACACACTCAACCTCATTGAAATATTGGTTTAAGAAAAAGAAATGGCACCAAGTCCGTTAAAATGTCTAAGAAAGCCACTAGGGAGACA